GAAAGATGATGATAGATTGTTTCCTAATTACTTTGGGATTGGAAATGCTGGTGGTGTGGAAATGCTCTTAAACAAAGGCCTTTTTAAAAAGTCTAAAGTCCATTAGAAACAATAGTTATATTTAATCAAATATGTATTAATAATGTTTCTTTTGTTAAGTTTAATTTTAATTAGTAAGTGTGGAATATGCTAGAGAGATGATATAATGTAGTCATTAAGATGCTGGAGTAGTCATGAGGAAACCTGGATTCTAGTCTTCTTTTAGGCACAGAAGCCAGCTGAGTGACCTTGAGCCGGTCAGTTGTCATTTGTCGTTGTCGTTCAGTCACTAAGTCATGTCCAACTCTTCACAATCACATGGACTTTGCATGCAGACCCCCCCTCCCCCTGTCCTCCACTGTTTCCCGCAGTTTATCCAAATTCATTTTCATTGTGTCAATGACACTATCCATCTCATCCCCTTCCATCCCTTTCTCCTTTTGCCTTCAATCTTTCCCAATATCTGTTTTTTTTTTCAAATAAGACCTTGTTTCTCATTATGTGGCCACAGTATTTGAGCTTCAGTATCTGCCCTTCCAAAGAATCACTTGTCACAGTTCTAATCAATAGCCGACTCTAACCTGCTAATGCCTTCCCTCCTCCTCTTACGCCTTGATCGATTAGTAGTAAAAGCCAAATGAGCACAGAGCAAAAGTAAGCAGGATCTGAAATCTTGAATGCTAAATGGTAAGAAGACAATCATAGATACTATACATTTCTAATCTTGTTACATCTTATTAGTATAATACATTATAGATAATGAGAAAAGAGAACAAAGTTCTTGAAGCCACAGAAATAGCCTTTTAAAGCTTTGATCCGCTGTTTCTTTATTGTCCCTTGGGAGGACCAGAAGGTTACATTCAGTGGTAGGATTCAAATCATTTAACAACCGGTTTTCTGCCCTAATGATTTCTTCCAACAACCAGTTCACCAAACTGCTCAGAAACTTCCAAAGTGGTACGAACTGGCTGAATCCCACAACTGGTTACATTACCGTATTACAGTGGTTCCCAAACTTGGCAACTTTAAGACTTGTGGACTTCAACTCCCAGTGAGCTCAAGTCCACAAGTCTTAAAGTTGCTAAGTTTGGGAACCACTGCCATATTACATGTGATAATACGGTATTTGGGGAGTATATTGGCAGTATATGCAAATATAAAAATTACTCTTGAGAAAACTGAGGCAACCTGTGTATTAATCTAGGCTGGTGGGGGGGAACCTCTCAGTTTGGATTATTATATTTCATTTGGAGTCTGTTGATGGACGTTAGCAGTTAAGATTAAAAATATTCATTAGCTCAGAGAATCTTTTCTCTCATAAATGCAATTTTTAATATATTGTAAAAGGTGGATCCTAATCATAATGAACTGATTTAGGAACACGGAGAATGCAACCTGAAGATTTTATGTGTGTGACTTGAATTAAAATAACAGCCTTTCCAGGATTTATTTTTAATGGCAGCACTTTATTTTATATTCTACTAATATAACAGAGTTCTTGTCAAATTGTATAGTTCCTCTGTCAGTAAAGTTCAGGGATCACAGCTAAATTTCATTTGGATTAATAAAAAATGGGTTGTAATCAACTAGGGGTGACAGGATAGTAGTGTTCCAATATCTGAGGGGCTGCCCCAAAGAAGAGGGAGCCAAGCTATTCTCCAAAGCACCAGAAGGCAGGACAGGAAGCAATGGATGGAAACTAATCAAGGAGAGAAGCAACTTAGAACTAAGGAGAAATTTTCTGACAATTAGAACAATTAATCAGTGGAACAACCTGCCTCTAGAATTTGTGAATGCTCCAACACTGGAAGGGATTGGACAAACATTTGTCTGAAAAGGTGTAGGGTTTCCTGCTTGAGCAGGGGGTTGGACTAGAAGACCTCCAAGGTCCCTTCCACCTCTGGTATTCTATTATTCTGTTAGTCTTATATTTCTGTCTGTACGGTATTTGATCTGTTGGTCCAAATTCTATCTTGACTGTGTAATTAAAAAAAAAACACGATTCAGATTTCTTTTGACCACTTCTGCTAAAGAACAAGGCAATTTAAGTCAATTCCCCAATGCTTCCTAAAAAATCTGCTCTGGAAAAGATGAGGAATGTTCCAGAACATACGAGAATGGAGAAGAGAGAATGTGCAAAAATTGCTTTCTTCCTTTTCTTTTAATGTGAGCCTCCACTGGATTTCATTACCATCGATACTGGGCAAATAGCTTTGTAAATACAATAATAATAAAAAAAGAAATGGCTAACATTTTTATAAAGGCTATAATTTATAATTCACTTTTGGTTCTTGAGAATTCTTGATTTGGTTTAGTCATAGGTGTTTTATATTGCTATATTACATTACTTTTGAAAAGCAAGCCTCTCTAATTTCTCTTTCATATCATAATATTTATGGGTCTGTTCTACAATCCTGACATTGTTAAGAACACAGAATGTTCTTGCCATTTGCTTTCTGTTCTTTGCCAGCACAAAAAAGTCGGTTGGAAAGCCTTCTGCTTTCCCCCCATGAACTTTAATCTTTTTTAAAACAACACTTTTAAATATCCCCAGCTCAACTGCATAATTAATGAAATTATCCCCTCTAAAGACTTAAATATTTCAGAGAATATTTGGCTAGAAGCAATAATTATCCACATTTTTAGTATATAAATAGCTCCATTTCTTACTTCTGATGTAGCTATTTATTTACTTTAATAAATTTCACAATATCAAAGCAAAAAGTACCTCCTAAAATCATTTAAAATACAATAAAGTATTAGATAAACTAATCAAAGCAAAAATGCACAGGCTACGTTGTCACAGAAGAGAGTGTTTCAAGATAAGAGATTAAATCTCAACCTGAATAGAAGAGTAAATTATACATGAATAAAAACTTCAGACATCCCAGGAGTGAAATCTATTAGATTTAGGATCCATTTAAAATTGATCGGGAAGATGAAAGCAATATCTTACGGAGAGCAGAGTTCTTTGCCAAACAGCTGTTAGGCTGATGATCTGTAACTCAAATCTCTCATCAGACATTCATATTCAACCAATGACCTTAGTCAAGCTACTGCTTCCCTCAAGACAAGGTACTGTTTTACAAAGTGGTGATGAGATTGGTCATCCATACTTACCCAATGCATGCACAGTGCTTTGAATGTTTGCAAATGGGTACGTTGAAAAGCCAATATCGACTTAACTTTTTTTTTTTGTTAAACAGCAGGAGGAAGGAATAGAAAAAAGAATAAATAAATCATTTGATTCAACTAAAGGAGTTTAGTTTAATTTAGTTTCATTGTTATTTGTGTGCTACCTCAGCTGACAGTTCTGGGTGATTGTATCATCTGATGAAGCCATAAAGGGTGCAATAAAGTTACAAAATAGTAAATAGGTTCCAGTCCAAAGTTTTTATAGAAGAACTGCCTCAACAGGCTTCCCTAAGAGTTCTAACCAGGCATGGCCTATTCTAGAGCAAGGAGGTTATCATTGAAAAGGCCTTCATCTAGGCTCCTGTTCATCTAGGCTTCTTAATATTCAGGAAGTGGTAAGCATCCCATATCAGGCAGCACATGTTTGACCCACCGATTCTCTCTGGATCAAATAGTCCTGGAGATACTTAGGACCTGAACAATCAATATTTGTATGGGTAATAACCACTACCTAGAATAGAATCTCACAATATTTGGGATTCTTCTGTTCATTTGCTGACACCAATCTCACCATTTGTACCTTCCAAATCAACTTAAAGGGCAGCCCCATGGAAAGAAATTGCAAGAAGATTCCCTTGAGAAAAGTGTTTAGAGGCCTTTGTTCTATCTACGTATAACAGTTATTTAGCAGGAAGAGAGGTAAAAAGGCAATTCTGAGTGCCAGGAATATTTGATTTGCTTTCCATGGATAATGGGGTATCTTGATATCAGAGCCTGTTGCTCAGAAGGACTGGCTGATTAGGGCTAATGATTAGCCTTCTGCTGGAATGAGTAACACATCAGAGATTGGGAAAGATGAGGCAGCTTTATAAGAAATAAAAGAAGCACATTCTGTGAATTTTCAGTGGCTTCTGCTCCTCACAAATAGCATAGAATAAAATTATTTATTGGCCAAGTGTGATTGGACACATAAGGAATTTGTCTTTGATTCATATGCTCTCAGTGAACATAAAAAGACAAGATACATTCGTCAAGAATCATAAGGTACAGCATTTAATGATAGTCATAGAGTACAAATAAGGAATCAGGAAACAATCAATATCAAAATATAATCCTATCCAATTGGAACATTCTTTTTAGCCCAGAAGTTGTGGATTGTACAATATGTATTCAAAATTGTGTTAACATTTTATAAGCATATGGTATATCAAGGTCATAGAAATGGAGAATAACAATAGGTTTGCTCAGAAAGGGAGTGTGATGGCTCAGCGCTTAGCTTGTCAGCTGGAAAGCTGACAGGCCAGGTTTGAAACTTGAGCGCTGCATAATAGGGTGAGTTCCTGTTACTTGCCCCAGCTTCTGCCCATCTAGCATTTCGAAAACATGCAAATGTGAATAGATAAATAGGTACCACTTGGCCAAACAACTGAGTTGAGAACTGTGCCCTACAGACAGGCACAGCTGGACAGGGAAATATTTACCTTTATTCTGAAAGGGCTAGGGCTGCTTGCCTCTTGAGGTTTTTTCCCATCTTACCTCTGAAATCACGTTTTCATTCTGTCACTTATGAGAATAACATGGAAAACTGGTCAGAGGCAGGAAGTAAATTTGGGTTTCTGCATTGAAGAATTGCCTGCAACCTGCATAATTTGTGTACAGCTAAGCTATAATTAGGAACCAAGACCAAGAACATATCCTGCCACTTTTGAAACTAGTAGTTTTGTTCCTCGAAACAAGTTGTGCCAGTACACAATGTTCACAGAGTTTAGCTTCAGAATATGTGGGTCTATTAAAAAATTTAAGTGTTTTTGTTTTAAATCTTGCAGATATTTGATAATGAAGCCAAAGATCCTGACCGAGAAGTCTGCTTCATTGATATTGCTTGTGATGAAATTCCTGAGCGCTATTACAAGGAATCGGAAGTAAGTAAAGGACACAATGATTTTGACTTATATTGTGCAAGTAACTCATGGAAACACCAAAGCTAGCTTGCGGCGAATGTTCCCATTCTCGAGTAGTTTGGCTATTATTGTTTTTAAAATCATGCTACGAGCTGGAACCAAGAAATATTCCTACATATCATATGCAGATGTGTGATAATTTGGATCGTACATTTGTGCTGTATTTAAAGCACATGAGAAAGACTCTGTTAGAGCAGACCAAAGGCCTCTCTAACTTCCTGAGTCATCAAAGGCCAAATAGCCACGGATGGGATCCTACTGGTTTAACAACCGATTCACTGAGTGCACTCCTTATATTAACAAGAAGGCAGAGCATTGTGGAAGTGGACTGCTTCTTCCCTTAGAGAGACTCACAATCACATTTTTAAAAAAGATGTACCGTATTTTCCAGAGTATAAGACGCACCTTCCCTCAAAAAAGGGGCTGAAAATCTGTGTCCGTCTTATACACTGAATACAGCATTTTTTGCCTCCTGAAACCCCACCCCCTTCACTAAAATGGCCGTGCAGAGCCTCTAGGAAGCTTTTAGAGAGCTCCTGCAGGCTGGGGAGGGCAGAAATGAGCAAAAAATGGCCTATGTTTTGCTCAGTTTTAACTCCCCAGCCCCCAGGAGCACTTTTTGTGAAAAATGGGCCGTTTTGGGGAGGTTTGCAGAGTGCAAAAACTTTTTATTATTTGCCTCTTCAAAACCTTGGTGCGTCTTATACTCCGAAAAATACAGTAACTATGGAATTCGACTCAAGATCAGAAATCCTATGGCTAGAACTTTTTTTAAAAAAAAAAAATCCTATGATGTCCACATATGAGTCTTCTGATATTTTTCATTCTATCCTATAATTATACAGATAGATGCCAAGTGTATTGTGGGACAGCATGCTGTGTTCCTGCAATAGGAGATGAACCCCCTTCCAAACTGTAGAGCCCATTTACTTGCTGGCTGGCTCATGTGCAACTTATCTTTAAAATGTCTTAAAGCCCTGATTATAAGAACCAGGGATAAGCAGGTTAGCTCTCTTAAAAGAAAGAATGCATTACAGGTAATTCTCATTCGACAGTGGTAACTCAGACCAGAATTCCCATTAGTAAGTGATGCAGTCATCATGTACAATGTTATATAACTACTTATATGATAGCCATGGCAATCCAGGCAGTCCCCAAGGCATAATAAGTTGTTAAGTGAGGACCTCCTTGCAACTTCCTGCCAGCCTCCAACAGGCAAAATCAGTGGAGAAGCTGCAGAAAGTTCCAAGTCCTGCAAGGAGGCCTGTAGCGGGCAGCTAAGTGCCTGCTGTAGCATATGCATGGTGGGGCCGGAAGTGGCTGTTGTCAGTTGCATGAAGGGGCATTGGTGGCTACTGCAGCACCATGCCATTGTGGCTAGGCATGTATGAACTATAAAGTGTGGGCAGGAGATGCTATGGATGTGCACCATGGAGCTATTCTGTAGTTGGGGTACTCGAGAGAAAGAGCAGTGAAAATGGGGGCAATTTAAAGGAGCAACTTGTAATCTTCTTTGTCAGTTTCCCCATTGACTTTGCTTGTAGGAAGCCAGCAGGGAAGCTCAAAAACGGCAATCATAAGACTGCAGAAAACTGCAACCATCATAAGTGTGAGCCACTTGCCAAGAATCCCAATTGTGATTATGTGAGTGTGGGGTGTCTGGGACAGCTGGAACTTTGAGGACTATTGTTCAGTGCCTTTATAGCTTTGAATGGCCGCTCCTGGCTTAACCAAGGATTACCTGCACAGCAGTAAGAACACAGTCAGTCCCCTTAAAACAGCTTTATGACTCTCTCCTGGTAGAAAAAAAGAAACCTCTGAGTCCTGTATTGCATCTTGAACACAGAGGAAGGAGAGAAGACATTCTGGAGATGGGTCAACAAATTTTTGCTGAACTCATAGTTGCCGAAAATAGCCAAAAATTGTCAAATGTGACCTTTCCTTCCTCTTAAATGCCACTCTAAACATTGGAATCTGAATGGCCTCACATAGTTGGCAAACCAAAGAAACAAAGAAATCACTTGGATTTCAGAAAGGCCTCTTGAATGCAAATCTACTAGATACTAATCTTGAAAACATTCCCAGCCAGATTTATTGTGAGTTCGCTAATGGAATCTTTTTGAAGCACTTTCTTTCCAGAGCTTTCATAACTGGCTTGTGTTGCCTCTTCTCATATGTACTAAACCTCCTCCTCCTTGGTTTCCTTCACACAGTCTCGCACACCTAAACTCCCAATATAATATTTGGATTAAAACAGTAAACATGACATAGATATTGCTGCTAGCAATCAGTCACAAAGAGCATTCCTTCCTGCTTTCCAAAACTTGAGAGGATACAGAAGTTCAGCTTTTCTAACAATAGTGCTGAGCTACTGTACGGATGGCAGTAGCCCTACGAGAAAGCCACTAACAAATGCATCTTTGTTCTTTGTTTGCAAAAACCAGCACCTCTTCACTTTACATTGTTTTTTTTTTCACATTTTGCTTTAAGGAACCAAAAAGTTAAGAGCTGTTAAGTTTGTGCAAACAAAGATTATGTTCCTGCTTTCCTTGTGTTTCTGCTGTTTTATATTGCTCCTCCCATGAGGAGACTGTGTAACACATATTAATTACATTCCTGTTCACTAAAAATGCTATTTAATTTTTTTATGGTTGGTGCATATACACGCCTATGTTTTCCTTTAACCACAAGGAACCACATGAAAATTCATTTGAAAAGATAAACGTTTTCAGGAAGCTGAATGTTGCATCCAGTATTACATTCAGCCATAGTTATTCATTTGCATAGTATCACCGTATTAATATAACACAGGTAAAAATAGAATCCTAGGAAAAGAGGCACTAATTTTTATGGGCAACTCAAGGAGACAAGACTTCCTTAGAGCTGCTAAGGGACCTGATTTTACCATGAAAATGAAACGACTGGAATGGCCTCTTCTGATTATTTATAATATTTTTTCTAACATTCAGTTGTGTCTTATTCTTGGGAAACTGCCTGGCCAAGTTGCTGCAGCTTTTTTGACAATGATTTTCAAAAGTGGTTTTCCACTGCCTCCTGCCTAGGGCTGAGAGAAAGTGACTGGCCCAAGGTCACCCACCTGGTTTTGTGCCCAGGGCAGGACTAGAACTCAGTCTCCCAGTTTCTAACCTGATGCCTTAACCACTACACCAAACTGGCTCTCTAAATATGCGTGTACTTTCGACTCAATGTTGAGTCCTTGGTCCTTGCCTGGATTGGTCCCTGCAGTTTTCTTGTCAGGGCTTTTCAGAAGTGGGCTTATTTATTTATCTATTTATATCCTGCCTTCATTATTATTATAAATAAACTGAAAGTGCAAACATACCTAACACTCCATGGAGATTTTGTCATCCAAGTCATGATTCTCCCAAAGGTGTTTTTCAACAGGTGCTTTTTCAGAACTGAAGAACTTTCTTGGATGAGAAGTGAAACATCTTCAAAGAAAAGTAAGAAAGGTCCAGTTGCCTCTTGAAAAAGCACCTTTGGGATACCTAACATTCCTTCCTCCTTCTATTTTTACTACAATAGCAAGCCTGGGAGGTGAATTGGGCTGAGAGAGAAAGAGAGAGTGATTGGCCCAAAGTCACCCACTGGCTTTCATGGGTAAGGCAGGAAAAACTCAATAGTTCCCTGTTTCTAGCCTAGTGCCTTCACCGCTACACGAAAGGGGCTCTCTATATTTATAATCACCACAAATATAAGTGTATTTACTTCCTTGCACATTTACAGTAAAGGAGTTTCAGAATCAGCAGCCAATCAGAGCTAATTCTTCTTGTCAGTTTTGCACAAATCTCTTCCCCTTTTGCAAAAAATAATAATAAAGGTTTTTTAAAAAGATGCATATTAGGCCTGAATTCCCTGGTATGCTATTGATCAAAGTTACAGAGTATTTAATAGGGTTCATACCAGTGGTGAAATTCAATTTTTTTTACTACCGGTTCTACCGGGCATAGCTTGGTGGGCGTGGCGAGGGAAGATTATTGCAAAATCCCCATTCCCACCCCACTCCTGAGGGAAGGATATTGCAAAATCTCCATTTCCTCCTCACTCCTGAGGGAAGATTATTGCAAAATCCCCATTCCCTCTCCACTCCAGCAGAGGGATATTGGAAAATCTCCATTCCCACCTCACTCTGGGGCCAGCCAGAGGTAGTATTTGCCGGTTCTCCAAACTACTCAAAATTTCTGCTACCGGCTCTCCAGAACCTGTCAGAACCTGCTGGATTTCACCCCTGATTCATACGTCATTCCAATCCAGAGAGATTCTAAGTGGCTTACATTTCCTTCCTTCCTTACATTAAGAATATCAAATAAAACAATACAGGTCATCCTCAATTTATAACCATTCATTTAGTGACTGTTTGAAGTGATTTATGACAGTTTTCCCACACTTAGGATTATTGTACCATCCTTGTGGTCACATGTATTTATTACAACTACCGCATCCCATGGTCATGTGATCAGCTTTTGGCAGCCTTCTGTCAAGCAAAGTCAATGGGGAAGCCAGATTCACTTAGCTGTATTCCTAACTTAATTGCAGTGATTCACTTAACAACTGTGGCAAGAAAGATCATAAAATGAGGCAAAACTCAATAAATATCTTACTTAGCAGCAGAAATCTAACAATAGCAAAACAACAACAACAACCCCCAAACAACTACAACCTCCAAACCCAATAACAAAAAGGATATCGTAAAAATGTTGCAACAGTAGTTTGATGAAGTCAACTCAGATCTCAAATCTCCCAATTTGGAATCTTGATTTATGCACCCTTCATAGACTAAACTATAAACAAGAAATGTGTACAGTAGGAAATATCAGAGGTGTGTGTCTCCTCCAGGGTAGATTCTAGCTCAGAGGTCGGCAACCTGTGACTTTAGAGCCGCATGTGGCTCTTTCATCCCTCTGCTGTGGCTCCCTGTCACCGGTCAGCAACAATTGATAGCGCTTTCAATTAGGACTGGTAGTGGAAAAAGGTCACCGTGCTAGGAGGAGACTCTGGTGGGGGAACTGGACTTTTGGCCAGCCCCAGAATTGAACGGGAGGCTTCCAGTTAGGACCTTTGTGGCTCTTTGAGTGTTTCAGGTTGCCGCCCCCTGGGCTAGCTGAATACACTTAGCAGATCCATACAGATAAATCCTAGTCCACTAATAAAGGGAAGCAATCCTACAGTAAAATTCTACTTTGTAAATGTAATACAGGTAGCCCTCGACTTACGATGACCATTGAGCCCAAACATTTTGTTGCTAAGGGAGACAGTTACATACATTTTGCCCCATTGCATAACCTTTCTTGCCACATTCGTTAACTGGACCATTGCAGTTGTTAAGTTAACAAACACGGTTGTTAAGTGAATCTGGCTTCCCCATTGAGTTTGCCTGTTAGAAGATTGCAAAATTTGATCAGGTGATCCTGGGACATTGCAACCGTCATAAATATGAATCAGTTGCCAAGTATTTGAATTTTGATCACATGATCCTTGGGACACTGTAATGGTCATAAGTGTGAAAAAGGATCATAAGACACTTTTTTCAATGTCTCTGTAACTTTGAACAGTCATTAAATGAACTATTGTAAGTTGAGGACTACCTGTGTTTCATTAATATTTTTGTCTAGATTAGTAGATTCTATATCACAGATTTGCAGGAGTTTCCAAAGCAATTTGTCAGGTGCCTTAGGATATAGGTGTATATGTAGATGTATGTGTATGTACAGACACTGATATACATACCTACATACATTCCCTTAAGCATACAGAATTTTTCTTACAATATCAATGGTACCATTTATACTCGCAAGCTTTCAAGAGCAGTGAAATTTTTTAGCCTTGTTAAAACTTTCTCACAGAGATCTTTTTCACTGTGTTCTTTCCCTATTGTCAAAAAACACCTGTGAAAAGCAAAACAACCCACTTACGTTTTAGTTTAAGATTTGCTTTATAATTGTTCTGCAAGTACTATGTTAAAGACCTTTTTCAATCACTTGTGTTAGAATTCTCCTTTGCTCCCTTCTGGGCTTCAGTCAAACATAATTTATGTGGCAAACTCATTTCGATGGAATAATTTTCCTTCCAAATAGCACAAATTGCTCCGTGTTTTCAGTACATTGTGATGCCAAGCACAGGATGTTTTAAAATAGCACTTTCCAGCCTTGAGCGCTCCCAAGGCAGATGCACTGCTTTGTCTGTGCTTTATTTGCTTTGGAATGAAAAAGAAGCTGCCAAATGTAATTATTTTTGGTGTGGGAGTGGAGGAGAGAAATGTGCCAAATATATTTTGGAAAACCTACTTCCAAATACATTGAAGAAGCACTTTTAGATTGTCAGGATTATGAATGAGATGAGTCCTTGGAAAATGGAAAACAGAGAATTATCTGGTATCAAAACGACCCCAACTAGTTGCAAATCAACTTGAAATTTCAAAATTAAAATGTGCAATACATTAGCCATTGACCCAAAGGGTATTTAAGCAGGTTAAATTTTCCAAAAAGATCTCGCCTATTAGTAAATCTTACTCTGCCCCAAACGAATGCATACATTTACAACAGAAATAATATTTGATAGAAGCTTATTAGAATGTGGTAATTTTTAGCCTATATTTATAATTTTGAACTGGAATATTCAGCACCCAATCACCATCCTACCTTTGCCCTGATCTTTGTACAGCTTAACATAACTATACTATGTGTACTAAACATTGCAAAGCTACTTTTATTTGATACCCGAGAAGGTACAGGTAGTCCTTGGCTTATGACCACAGTGGAGCCTGGAATTTTGATCGTAAAACATTGTGATCGTAAGTCAGGGCATCATTTGACCGGACTTGATTTTACAACCATTTTTTACAGAAAGTCATTAAGCAAATCACATGGTTGCTAAGCAAATGTCAGGCCCTAGCTCAAGACATAGGGAGCTCCAGTTGGGTTCATGCAATCAGGTACAAGAAGTTCATGCTACCTATAAACAAGAACCTGAACTAGTAATGGTCAAAGCAAATTGGTGCCAGATAGGAGTCAATAGACTTCAAGGGGAGTTAGAAATAGGTCTCTTACAGGGACATGGTGTCTCCAAACTGATTCATGTACTTGACTCCTGCCCTCAGACTCAGCCTGGTCATCTCCTACATCAGGCACATCCACACATGAAAGTTTATTGACTTATTGCTGTAGCTTGTGCACAGAAATCTTCTCACCTGGCAATCAATGCCTTCTCCCACAGTTCAGTTCTTTATTTGCTTACACCTTATTTGATTTGATTTGATTTCATGTATGTGGCTGCCAAACTCACAAATGTAATTTAGAGAGAATATTAAATGGGGCTAAGAAAAATGCTTCAGTTATGATTTAAGAATAAGGATTGGGGTTAATATAGTTGTTTTGCTAAAATCTCCAGTCTGCTTTTCCAAGCAACCAGCTCCCAGACCTAATTTTAATAAATATAGAAAAGAAACACAAAGTGAACATTGTTCCTGACATAGATAGAAATAAGGTTGTGAAGTCCCATTCTTACTAGAATGGTAGTCCTTGACTTACAACAGTTCATTCAGTGACCATTCGAAGTTATAATGGCACTGAAAAAGGTGACGTATAATCATTTTTCTCACATGACCATTGCGGCATCCCATGATCATGTGATTAAAATTCAGACACTTGGCATTTGACTCATATTTATGACGGTTGCAGTGTCCTGGGGTCATGTGATCACTTTTTGTGACCTTCTGACAAGCCAAGTCAATGGGGAAGTCAGATTCACTTAACAACCATATTACTAACTAAACAGCTGCAGCGATTCACTTAACAAATGTGGCAAGAAAGGTTGTAAAATGGGGTAAAATTTGCACTTAACAAATGTCTCACTTAACAACAAAAATTTTGGGCTCAATTGTGATCATAAATTGTGGACTTTCAAAGGTAGGTTTCTTAACTAGATTGCTCACTCAGTCTCCTTGTTCTCAATAGGATCCTAAATGCTTCAAATCAGAGAAGACTGGGAGAGGCCTATTAAAAGAAGGTTGGAGAGAAACGCAAGACCCTATTATGTGCTCCTACAAACTTGTATCTGTGAAATTTGAAGTATGGGGACTTCAGACTCGAGTTGAGCAGTTTGTTCACAAGGTGAGTAAGGGGGAGTGCCTGCATATTCCCCTCCCCACCGATCAGCAATGAGCATTATTCAAAAAGTTGATATGATTATATTTACAAATGTTTACAATTACTTACTCTGACTTTTAGTCACTTTCCACTTACTTTGGCATCAGACTACCTTGCCACTACAAGGCTATGGCATATACACTTCGTTCTGAGTTCTCACCTTTTCCAGGGAAATGCATCCCCGTGACTAGTTTTGTTCAGTCATTGATTAATTCCTAAAGGAAATATCAGGATTTTAGGAGAGGGGGAG